CATTCCTGGAACAAGACAGGCTTCCAGGAAGGCTTCCAAGGGTCCACGAGGCATCTAAAAATAACCAGGAATGGCAGATACCAGCCTCCAACCCCGCCCCGCAGAGAAAGACACCAGAGAAGGCACTGGAATCCCTGGAGCCAAGAGGGCATGGAACATTCGCAGGGGTTAGAGGTCAGGGCCCGCAGCACCGAGGCCCGCGTGCCAAGACCGGCAGCCTCGCCCGTACTCTTCCGCCTTAAGGTGGTAAAGCACCGTGGGACACGCAGTGGGACGGGCACGGGCCGGGGGTGGACACGTGAGCAGCTGTGTGACACCGTGCCCACCCTGAGCCCCCCACACCCACACACGCGCAGAGTGGGGAACGGGGAAGCTGGGCGCGGCAGCAGGCAGAGACCCGGCCAGGGAGCCTCTCGGCCGACTCCCCGCGCTTGTTCATTTATGAGGGCAAGTCCTGGTCTCAGGCATGACTCTGACCCTCCTGAGGAGCAAATCTTGGGGTGGGGGGTCAATCCAGTCAGCAGCGGTCTCCCCCTCAGTTGGGGGACCCCGGCTGCCACCCACACTAACAGCCCAGAGGGAGCAGGCGGGACACGCCGGGGGCAGGGGGGCAGAGGCGGCCTGGTCCCCCAGCACACGTACCTGGGGAGGCTACCGGAGGGGAGTTGGGGTATCCTGAAAAAAAAAATGGGGTCGAACGTCAAACAGGAGCCCCGCTTTTTCTCCCTGCTCCTCACGCTATTTCTTTAAATAGACAAAACAAGCCCCCCGCCTCCCCCCCCCCCCGGCAAGCCGCCTTCCCAGAAGGAGAGGCACAGTTGTGCCCCCACTGTGCCTGCTTCCTCACTGGCCCACTTCTCCCGACCAGAGAAGAGCCCTGAGGGCAAGCTGGCTGGTGGAGGAAGAGAAAGAGGAGGCTGGACTGTGCTGCATGAATGCATGGATGGGTGCGGGGCGGAAGCGCTGATGGACAAAGGGCCAAACGGCAGGACATGCGGTATAGACAGCCGTAATGCATGGCGTGACCAGGAGAGGAAGTGTCCTTTCTGGAGAGGCACAGTCGCCTGGGGGAGAGCTGTGATGGCTGCAGCTTGGGGTGGCTGAGCAGAAACCAAGCACCCGTGCCTCCTTGTGTTCCCGGCACGGACCCTACCTGCCTGGCAGCCATGGCGCTTCAGGGCCCCCGGGTGCGCCAGCCCCTCCCAGGTGGGGTCAGCCTGCACCAGTTTGCACCGTCCTACGCAGCACCATCCGCTTACCTGTCCTCGCCCCGAGCCTCCGTTCCCTCACGTGTTAAACGGGACTACCCTGGACTGCACAGTGCCGTCAGGACAGCTACAGCAGCCCCAGCACCTGATTCAGTCCCTGGCACGCAGCAGGGGTCACACACCTGCTCGCTCCCTTTTTCTTCTCCCTCCTGCCTTGCCCTGCACAGCTCGCAAGTAGTCCTTCCTGGCCAAGCACTGAACGGGGGTTTTCTCCATCACCCTCAGAGCTGCCCCCAAAGCTCCCACTATTACCCCCACTTTGCCTGTGAAGGAGCTGAGCCTTCCAGGGGTTACGAAGCCGCCCCAGGCCCCAAAGCCTGTGTTCACATGGCTGAGATTTGAGCCAGAACCTTCTGGCCCACCCACTCTGAGGGGCGGCATTCTCTTCTGTTGTGGAGGCTCCCAGTCCACACTGGTCTCCTAGGTACACTTTCCTACTGGAAGTGGGATGAGATGTTTACTGCACTAACCCTGGGGGTGCCCCAGCCTCTGGGGGTTCGATTAGCATGAACTCATCCCTCAGCACCTCTGAAGAGCTCTTTTTTGGAACTTGCACCTGGAAAGACCCTGCAGCAGACCCCCTAAGGCTCAGGCTGACCCTCCATATATTCTCACAATGCGTGCCCCCCCAACCCCCCACCGACTCAGATGTGCCCAGCCGCAGGGGCCTTACCTGGTGCTCCCGCGAAGCCTTCAGCGCTGGGGATGGGCCCCTGCCCCGTCTGGCCGTCCACTCCTTGGGGCAGGCCCCTCCCCGACACGCCCATCCTCCCCGGAGGCCCGGCCTCTCCAGTCTCCATAATGACCCCGGTGGAGCCGGGCAAGTAGGGCATCCCTGTCCAGCCCGGCCATGTTGGCGGGGGCAGCGGGTGCGGGGGTCTCTTGGGCAGGGCAGGCCGCTGGCCTGTGTGTGGCCGTCTTCTGGGGTCCTCAGGAAGCGGGGGAGCGCTCGGTGTCGGCAGAGGGGTTGGCTCGGGATGAGAGGCCTCCGTGGGGGCCTCCTCCAGAGCCGGGTGGGAGGGCCTTCCAGGCACCTGCGGGGTCTTTCCTCGGGGCGGGGGCGGCGGCGCTTCTGAGGGCTCCTCGGCTGAGCATTTGGAAAGTGGAGAGAAAAATGCAGGGTTAAGAACCTCAGACTCGACTGCTCAGCCCCAAGCCCCTCGGTGAGACCTGATGGGCTCGGCTCCCTGGGAAGGTATGTGCTTGTGCATCAGCAGCGTCCTGGGCACCGGCCCCGGCGAGCCCAGCACAGCCACTAGAGCGTGGGCACAGCATGCCTCACAGCTTCAGAAGGTGGGCCACGGGGCAGGCTGCCCTCAGGTCACCCAGGAGCTGGTGAGGTCACTGGGGACCCCTGCCCAGCAGCCAGGGGGAGGTGGGAGGATTTTCGGCCTTTCTACACAATGGTTGCCTCCCCAGAACAGCACCATTCTTGGCCCCAGCACTAAAACTTCGGATTTCACCACATGATGATACCACAGGTCTATCAGGAATTACTGAACAGGACCTGCTGCCCCCAGCCACCTTATGTTCTCTCAAACCGGCAAGTCTGGGGGTCACTGGATGGTTCCACAAGCCGAAGCCCTGCCGAACGCAGATGCCGCAGTGACCCCAGCAGGCGTCAGGGAGCTTAAGGCCCCTCTGCAGCAGGCACAGTCCCCAAAGGAGCAGAAACACCCCGCGCCTCTTGCCACAGCCTTAAGCTCACCAACTGAGGGGAAGTCCACGGGAAGAAACTTCTGATTCACATTTCCCTGCCCTCAGGGGATGGCGCTGTGACACACCAGGAAGCAGCCAGCCCTTCCTCCTATGAATACATTCCTGGAACAAGGCAGGCTTCCAGGAAGGCTTCCAAGGGTCCACGAGGCATCTAAAAATAACCAGGAATGGCAGATACCAGCCTCCAACCCCACCCACCTCTGCAGTCTGTATGGTACCTGCAGTGCCCAAGTCCCGAAGCTATACAGTGATGTCCTGGCAAAATCAGTGACTGCATTTTGACCCCCTGTCTCATTTTCAAACTCACTAAGGCAACTATGGCGATCAAACATGTGCTCCCCTTCCACCAAAGAGCCACGTAGCTCACCCACCTCCAGCCCCAAAGGGACCGACCAGTGCTCCATGAGAGGATTAAGCCCTATGGAGAATGATTCACCACTTTCTCAGTCATCCCAAGGATAATACAGAGCTAATACTTAGATACAGAGAAGAGAATTCGCATCATTCAATGGAACAGCAATCAGGCCTCAATTCTCTTTCAGAATCCTGATTGAGAAGGGTTGGGTTAGACAGAAACGGAGGCAGAGGGCCTGCAGACACGGGGACATCAGCCACAAGGGAGGACAGGAGCGAGAGAACAGTCTGGAAACACAAAGTCTGCCCACTGAATTAGGAGGCTCCCAACCCCCGCTTCCTCCTTAGCTCCCAGGACACTTATTATAGCTTAGGTTGGAGGAAGGGAGAATCTTCAAACTGTCCCCATAATGAAGCCCGCCAGCATGAAATCTTGCCCAGTGCCTCACCTTTACACATGAACCATGGTCAAGATCACATGTGTGCAAGGAAAGCCTCCAATAAGAAAGAAGGCTCTTTTAAGGGTTTTACATGTTTGTTTTCTTACATTGTGTGTTTCTTCAGAGTTCTTTTCATTAGTTGGATGACTTGTTTTAGTCTCTTTCAATTTGTTTATATTGTTCCTGTCATGCTGGATAATGAGCCGCTGAGGACACATTTTAATAATCTTTTATCCTCAGCGTTTGGCACAGGGCCTGGCACCTGACATTGAGACATTTAAGTGTTTGGTGAATGAATGAAGGCTAGAAGGTACTATGGGCCACACTCTAATTCCTGCCAGCCATTGCATTAGGTACCTGAATTTTGCCCAAAAGTCATTGTCACCAAGGGCAATTCTGGTCCTCAGAGACAGTGAGAGCTCTTTTATATCCATCACTCCCTCAACACCCAGGCTTGCCATACTGCGCAGAAGGCAAAGAATGCACAAGTATACCCCCTGGAACAAATATCCTCCACTAATTTCCTTGGGGGAGCACACCCAGGCCTGCTGTGGGCAACTGACTGCTCCGAGGCGTCTCAGCCAGGACAGTAAGGAGAAAGCCGCCCTGGTTCCAGTCATTTCCCCAACAACACCCCCCCACCCCCACCGCCTGGCTCATGCCAGCTCTCCAGCATCACGGTATCACGTGGTTTTTCCAATGCATATACATTTATTACAAAGTTGTAACAAAGACTGGACAGCATTTTGCTCATTCTGGAGAGATCACTCCTGGCAGTGGATGTCTTTCTGAGCTCAACATGTGTTTCTAATTCAGAGAGTGACCATTTGAACTGAGTTGTCCTGAAGAGCCCGGTGTTGCTGCCCCGGGCATCTAACCCAACAGTGGCGTAGGAAGGGCCGCTGCGGGCCCCATGTGCGCCGCCGCGGGCCAGGGAACCACCCCAGGCTCCAGTCCTGATCTGCCCTCGTGACCCCAGGTCAACCCCAGCCGGCTGGCAGCACCCCACCTTCCGCGGACGGGCCTGGTACCCGACTACCAAAGGCCACTCCTGCTCCTCTAGAATTCTGACTTCATGAAAGAGAAGACCTGTGGAAGCAAATCCCCAGGAACCCGTGAGCTGACGTGCTAAGAACCGGTGTCCTGCAGCCGCTTTGCGCCCCGGCTGGGCGGACAGGAGTCCAGGCTGTGTCTGCGTCCTGCGGCCACCAGAGAACCCCGAAGGGAGGCCAGCTGCATGGTGGGGGGAGACTGCAGGAAGGAGGGCCCTTAGGTGGTGTCTGTTACAGAAGCAGAGGCCGTGGGGGATGGACGCTGGCCTCCGGTGCTGGAGTCGGGGCCCCAGCTGCGGGAAGGCCATGGACCCCTCCTGCCTCATCTGCCCAGTCCATTAGCGGGCCAGCCCTGCGGCCCCCTCCTGCCAACCAGACCGAACCAGGTGCCCATGGGAGCGGGGCACTGTGCGGGGCGCCCGGCAGAGGGGGCAGCCGGCCTGCCGGGAAGCCCACAACCCCGCAAGCACCTTACAGCTGGCCATCGGGGCTCCAAATGCCCACAGGACACCCACCAAGTCTTTGCCGCTAACCGCCAGCGTGGGCCGCAGGAAGGGGCTGCTCAGGCTCCCTGCAGCAGCTCGGCTGGTGGACGAGGCCCAAGGGACCCCCCCACAGTGGAGCACCGCAGGCCTGCTGGAGGCTGCTGGGGCGGCGAGACCCCGCAGAACACCTGACCCGGTCTCCTGCGGACACCGGAAGGGAGACCAGGTCTCCTGGGCAATGGTTCTACTCTGAGCTCACGGTGACCTAGATGCGGCTGGCGGCTCTGGCTGGAAGGACGAGAAGCCCTCAGTGCCGCCCAGGAGCGCGGTGTGGCCTCCTGCAGAGGGCGACGCAGTGAGTCCCGACACGACCACACGGGAAGCCCTGGAATCGGGCTCCAGGGCGAAAACGGGTCCACATGTCTGACCAGCACAACCTCGAGAACAACTGAGAGGCACACACACATACTCGCGGTGGCAGAACGTTTGAGATGGGAAGGAATTTGCAATCACAGAATCCCGGGGGTGGGGGGAGTCTTACCTAGCTGAGCCTCGACGTCACCTGGGAATTTTTTTTTTTTCTTTTTTGGTAGAACTTCACAAGCTGCTTCTAAAATCCCTATGGAAATGCACAGGATCTACACTCCCTGGTTTTAAGACTTACTATAAAGCTGCAGAAATCAAGATGTAAATAAAGCATGTCCTATCAACAACTAGAGGAGTCTGCAAGTGGACTGGCTCACACCAAGTCCCCTTTTATTGCCCGCCCAGTGTCAAAGTCGGCCTTTTCATTCTCTCTCCTCTCCCTTCCTCCCTGTTTCTCCCCTTCCTTTGGGTACAGTTCACCCTGGGTGGTGATATCCTGCTGCCTTTGAAGTAGCCTTCCTTCTGCTTCTGAGACCAGAGCTAGGGGTTTTTGTTTTAATTACAAATTTGATTACAAATTCCTAGGTCTCATTTCATCCCTATTGAGCAGGAATCTCCTGACGGAGCCCAGGAGTTCTTTTCTAAAGCTCCCTGAGGATTCTTGCATGCAGCTATGGGGGAGAGCTCAGGCCTGAGAACACCATGCAGCAGCTACTTACATCCACCAAAGGGCATTACCAGCACCGGGCGCCCACAGGGCAAAAGGGTGCGTATTGCTGGAGTCAGGCTGGTCTGAGTGTATGCAGTCTGTTTTAGCCTTTATATATTTATAAAACGCTGACTTGGTCCATCATGCTATCTTGGACCTAAACTGGCCCCTGATTCAGCCAATTTCAAGTTGAGGGCCCAGGCCAGCATTGTGGCATCAGGCCACTCTTCCCCTGGCCAGGTTTTATGGTTAAATCTTTGGAAAATCCATGCTTTTTCATTCTTGTGGCACAGACTGCATTAAGCCACTTGATAACGATGGGATTCCTAAATCTCTAACACTCCCAAATGAAACACTGTGCTTAGTATAATTCAAGTACTAGGAGAAACAGCCCTCTGACGTGAGCAGAAGAAACAGATGGGGGGATTCGAAAAAGGAAGTGATGCTGCTGTCACCAGGGTCGGTTGAAACAACATCCTGGTATCTAGGTGGGCATGTCTCTTCTTGGAACTGTGACGTAGGGTAAGAGAGCTTCCCTGCTGCACAGAAGTCTTCCTCTTCCTGCCATCCCCACCCAGCGGGAGCCCCAGGTTTCTCAATCCCAGGAACTCCCCTCTCTCCGACCCTAAGAGGCACAGCCAAAACACCGGCGTCCAACCAGGCCTCAGCGTCTAGGTCACACCGGGAGGTTGGGATGCCCCGGCTGTCAAAGGGGGCAGCCAGCCATGGCCTCGCTGACAATGCTTGAGTTACAGGCCAGGGCAGTCCTCGGGGCCCAGGCAGGAAAAGATGCCTTTTACCCACACCATAGAGCAACTCCTGCCCCACAAGATGCTGACCAAGCGAAAGGCAGAGGGTCCCGGCCAGAAGCGCAGGGCCCCACGCGTCTCCAACAGTGTGAGTGAGCGCGTGCGGGCAGCGGGCCAAACCCCTCGGCCAAATCAGACAGGAGGACAAAGGACTTAGCAGCCTAACTTAGTCCCAAGTTCTGAGCCTCTCATCAACAGAAGTATTTGAACGTGAATCTTGAACGCTAGGGAGGGGAGATTTCTGGGCTTTTTACATGTCCCACCTGACCCCCAATTTAAAAAAGAAAAAGAAAGGGAAAGAGAGAAGACCCCACTGGGTTTCCGGAGCCTTACACGGAGCAGCCAGGAGCCCGACATGCAGGGCTCTCGTCCCATGTCTGCTTTGTGGACAGCCTCTTCTGGCTCCCCTGAGGCCGGATGCCTGGGGGTTTGTAGGAAGAGAAAGGGAGAAAAGTTCAGCCAGGAGTAAACATCTATTATAGGGGACAGAGGGTTAAAATAATAGGTAATACTGACTGAGTGATTACCAGGGACCAGGCACTGTTTAAGACTCCACTCCTTATGAGTATTAATCCTCTTTGAACCAACTTTTTGAGGTAAGTGTCATTATTTCCAATTAGTAGATGCAGAAAGTGAGGTAACTAGGTAGATAAATGACTTGCCCAAAGTCCCAGAGAAAGCATGAAGATAGCTGGGATTGCAAACCTGGGAAATAATAAACACTGGCTGGCTCAAAATCCTCTGATAGTTTCTCATCATACTTAAAACTCAAATCTTTTACCATAGCCTATAAAATCCTACATGATCTGGTTCCTACCCCCTCTCTGACCTTAGTGCTTAGGACTTACCCCCTTTGTTCATATACTTGATAAAACTAGCATTCTAAGTTTTTCAAACAGGGCAAACTCATTACTGCCCCAGGGCCTTTGCACGTGCTATTCTGTCTGCGGGGGACACTTCCCACAGATCCCTGCAGGGCTCCGCAAAGATGTCCTCTCCACTGAGCAACCCTCCCTGCCCACTCACCTAAAACATATTGCTGTCTCCTCTTCTCCATGAATTTACTCTGTTGTGTTTTTCCTTGCAGACTGATCACTGGCTGAAATCAGATCATTGTTTGCTTGGCTGTGCATTGTCTGTCTTCCCTATAAGAGTGTAACATTCGTGAGGACAGGCACTGCAGCGCCAGGACGCAGCTAAGATTGTATCAGTTGAATAAATGAGTATGGGAATGACTGGGTGGGATGGAGGGGGCCAGGAGAGAGGCATCACACCCACTTTACTGAGCTTAAGGTGAGATACTGGTTCTTCACTTTTTGGAAGTTAGGCACCTCTTCTGCCTCCTAGACGAAAGCCATGGACCTTTGGTCCAAAAAAACCAGCCAACATTTGCAAATAATTTCAAGAATCCCTTTTAAACCCCAGGGAAGAACATCTGCACTAATGGGAGGGAGACAAAATCGACTTGGAGCTATATGATGCCCCTGGCCCCCACACTGCCTGCCTTCTGGAAAATTCAGGCCCCCTTAGGGATGCTTCTGAAGAAAAGAATGGCATGGGAGAACAGGGCAATGCCCTGGGGGGAAAGGCCGGACTTTGCCTCCCCAGGCGGTCCAGCCACCTGGTTACTGGTCCAAACCTACATCAGGCACCCTCATCCCTGGGCCTTTGCTCCCTGAGGGAGACATGATGACTACCATTAATATTCCTTCCCTCCCAACGCATACAAACCATGTCCCCCTTCAGGAGCTGACTTGCTTTGACTAACAGAATGTGGCAGACAGGCTGCCATGCCCAGAAGGGGCCCGGCAGCTTCCACTTTCCTTTATGAGCCAGTCACCATGTAGTGAGTCTGGCTTCCCCTGAGACCGCCATGCTGTGAAGCAGCCCAAGTTAGCCACATGGAGAGAGAGACAGAGAATGGCGACAGGGAGGACCCCCGACCTTCCAGCGCAGCCAGGCCAGCTGCCAGCTGATTACAGCTGAGTGACTGACTCAGGCTGATGCCAAATGGAGAAGAACCACCAAGCCAAGCTAAGGCAAGCCCCCCTCGAGTTCCTGATTCCCAGAATAATGGAAAACAATACATCTTTGTTGCTTTAAGCCCCCAAGATTTGGGGTAGGTTGTTGTTACACAGCAATAAAAAACTGACCCATTCATATCAACTCCTCACCAGGTATGCCTTCCCCTCCTCCTTTTCTGGGCCCTACCCATCCCTTCATTATCAGTTCCAGTAACACCTCCTTCCAGCAGCTTCTCTTATCACTCCACCTCACTCTTCACCCCTCCAACCTCTAAACTCTCAACCTACTCAACCTTGAAGGCTTGACGCAGGGGCTCTCTCCTCTGAGGAGCCCCCCGGACTTCCACAGTGGCCACAGGTGCCTCTCCACACACCCAGTGTGCCTATGCACACCCCGTTCCCATGACCATCCCTTTGTCAGCTTGTTGGCCCTCAGACTGTCACTGTCACGTGCGTCGTCATCCACATATTCCACACACATAGCTCATTAACTACCCCATAATAGAGGCTCAGTGAGACCTTATGAACTGAAAGGATAAACCCTACACCACCGGCTGGGCCTTACCTGCTATCACATTCATTCTCTCTGCAGACCTATGTGGCTTTCCCACTCTGACTGAAAATGCCTTGAGGGTCAGGATCTTGCTACTCATTCTCTCCATGTCTCTCACAGAGCCCTGCACACAGCAGGTGCTCAAGAAACGTTCTGTTGACTTTTAACTGGCCAACGTGTGACTTTCACTGTGACCTTAACTCCAGATTTGCCCCTGGACCTCTGCTACTCAGGCTCCAGACCTCCCAGACTGGGATGCTATACACAAGACAAGGAGAGAGCCCTGCTTGTTAATTTTTGGTTCTCTTCAATCAGTGGAATTCTCGAGAGTCCACACATTCTACATTCACAGCAATGAATTCATTCCAGAAGGATAATCTTTTAGAAGCTACATTCTCTTTAAAGACGTTCACCTCTGACTCCTCCTTCAACAGACAAATGTGAAGGAGTTAACACAGCTTCCCACACCGCCTGGGAGTTGCAAATCAACTGGAAATATCTGGTTTAATCTGTTATTATAAAGCACCGTCCAGACAGCCCTGTCACCCCAAGGACAATCGTTCTATGAACACACACAGTGTTGTGCCCTTTACTCAACATTCCAGAGATAGAGGAGCTGTGTGGGCCTGGGAGGAGGGGAGGGTTATAAATAGTGTAGTGTCGTGGGCCCAGCACTGGGGTGGAGGCCAGCTTCCCGGTCCTCGCTGGCCTGGGTACCTCCTTATCTACAAACGTCTTATCTCTGGGAACATCCAAAACATTTTCCCACCTGACTACCTCAGACCCTCCAGCTTCCTGGGGACCTACCAGGGACTCGCCATGGCTCATCTGCCTCTCATGCTCCAGCCCTCCCCTCCTTGGGTTTTATGTCTCAGCTTGGACATAAAATCCTAGAGGCTTCACTCCGTCCAGGCTATAAAAATCTCAGCTCAACGTGTGAGGGCCTTTGTCACCTGGAGCTGAGCAAGGTGAAAAAGGTGATAAAGGCCCAAAAAGGAAGAGAGGAGGAAACAGGGAGAGGGCGAATCAGGAAGTGGGGTCCTTCTGGGCCTACAGTTGGCCCTCAACAAGTCCTTTTGGACCCAGTAAATCTGTGTTCAACTCTGGGACACACAAAGGAGATGTGCTCTGGACTGGAAGACAATTCTTGGATGCAGCCCACCCAGGGTCCCCATCCCGGCTCCGCCACTTTCTGGCTGTATGCCCTTGGATACACTTCCCCTTGGGAAAGTAGTGTGCCTTTCCCATGAGGCGATTGGGGGGCTCTAGGACATGTCCCCTGAGGGAACCAACCCAGTGCTGGTACACAGAAAGTGCTCAATAAATGTGAACTCATTTTCCCTCCCTGCCTCCAATTAGAAAAGTCTGTCTCATTATTGAGACTACCTAAATGAAAGAATCCAGGTATAAGAGAAGCTCTGTCCTTCAGGGAGGATGGGCTGAACCCTCAAGTAAGAAAGAAACGAACTTTGTTGAATATATTACTTCATGTTTTTAAGGAACCATTCATTCATTCATTCAACAAACATTTGCTGAGCGTCTAATGTGCAGCAAGCATTGTCCCACGCACAGCTGATGTGCTTCCTTGTTCTAAGCACTACATGGCCTTCAACAGTTACTGCCCCTAAAATGCTTTTCGTCCAGGGTCTTGTCTCTGTCTCTGGAAAGGAAGAGGGCAGTATTCCACTTGCCATCATCTAGGCCTTAGAGTTCAGGGAATAGGAGGTAGCCCGAAGCTGATGAGGACAGATTATAATGACACCCGCAAACAAAAAGTGAGGTTGGTAGACAAGTGAGCCGATAAGCATACAGCAGACTCCCTAAAAGATGGGACAACAATATCCACTGCTCCAAGCTGTCATGCCAAAAGCCTGACCCCAACTCTAAGCTCACCAACATGACGGTCTACCCAGATCAACATTCTGCCATCTTCCCTGTGGTGAAGGAGTATTCCTTTTTCATTTTCAATCTGTTGTCCTGGTACTTCTGTAAAATGCACAGACAGTGTGCTTGAATGCTACAGTGAAGTCCAGCCGTTTTCAAGAGAAGTTTCTAAATACTTTCAATGTGGGTATTTATCTCACTGCCAGTCAGCACCAGTGATTCACAAACTGGCACCAATCTACGAACCACACTTTGGGGAGGACTGATGTAGTTAATCCCATGGGCCATCCAAAATCTAGCATGATAAACGTTGCAAACAAATGCAAGAAATGGAATTGTAAAGGTCAACTTACTTGCTGATGGCTGAAATTTGATCAGATCTTGCAAGTCGGTAGAAATCTGGAAAACGTGGCTATAGAACTGCTGGACTGAATTCTTCAGGCCAGATATGTCTCTGGAATGTGACCAGAGTGTCCCATTCATCTGCCTGACACAACTCCAGAGGCTGTTGACATGCTTGTTGAGCCCATCCTTGATCCTCTGAAGACTTCCTGAGATGGAGTCCAGCTTGCTGCAGGTTTTCTCCATTTGAGATACCCTGCTCTCAACCACGGAGACATCCCTCCGGACCCCGTGCATGTTTTCCCTACAAGTGTCCAGCTCAGAGAGGACCCGGCTCTGCAGGTGCTGCCACCTCTCCTCCAGCTGGCTGCAGCAATGAGCCTTGGGGTCCCAGGGAGATGGGAGGGGCTCCACCGTCCTTCCTTGCTCGCCCCCCTTAGGAAACCCACCCACTGCAGCACTTTTACCTTCTCTACAGCTGCTCAGCTCATTCTGGAGATGATTCACATCGTCCTCTGTGTGGTTTAGTTGAGAATAAAGAAAACTAAAATCCTGTTGAAGTTTCTGGATGCTTTGTTCAGTTTCTTGAAACTTCCTATGCATTGTGTCATTCACAGATTTCAAAAGGTTCAAACTATCACCCGTTATGTGGTCTTCTCCATTTGGCAAAGTATCTTCTACGCCATGAGGCTCTCTCTGAAAGTTCTGCCGGCAAATATCCTCAACAACTTGAACTTTGTTCTTCAGGTGATTTAACTCTATCATGACCTGTTTGTTCCCAGCCCCTGACACACCCGGTAAGGCTGAGGCTGAGGGGGTGAGTTCTGCCTCAGTACTGTTGGCCACCTCCAGGAGAACACTCCCCAGGCGCTCTTCCAAAGACTGTATTTTCTGATCAAGAAGTTGCTTCAGGTCATCTACCTCACCATTAATGGTCCCCCGAAGGGTTTCTTCAACGTAAAAGCAATGTTCTTCCGCGTTCTTCTCTGTCACATTGATCCTTGCATCTAGTTCATTCCATCTGGCATCAAAGTCCACATCTGGCTCTGGAACTACAAGGCGGTCAAATTCATTGTCGAGTCGTGCATTCAGCATTCTGGTGGCTTCAGCAACTCTTTCAATTTTCTGGTCTAACATCTTGATCTGTTGCCCAAAGTCACCATTCTTTTCACCACCACAGCAATTTGACTGAGCTGAAGGATCTTGTACCTGGGCTCGAAGATCATTTATTTCTTTTTTCAGGTTTGTTTCCTTCTCTCCTATAAGCTCAATCACTCCTAGGTAGCTGCTCCCATAGTCATCACACTGCTGTTGGAGACCAATCAGCTTGTACTCGCATGAGTTCTTCAGATCGGCCAGCTTTCTGTCCATTCCCTCCATGAGCTCCTCTCTCAGGGCATCAATCTTACTATCGACATAGGCTTGGTAGAGCTCATTGGTCGTCATGGTCACCGTAGGGCCCTGGGCAGCCTCCTGGAGCTGTTTGAGCTGTCCTTCATACCCCTTTACCTTCCCATCCAGCTCTTCCAGCTTGTCACTCTTGTTCTTCAGAGCATCCTTGACCTCAGCCAGTTCAGACTTGATGTCCTTCATGCCAGATTCCTTATTGTTGAGGACATCAGGAAGCTGGATGGTCTCTGTGTCTCCGCCAACGGCACTGTCAAGCACCGGCTGGAGGTGCAGATTACTGAGCCACGATGCCAGCATTTTGCTAGCATCGTCCTGAATGGCATGCTTGAGGTTTTCATTCACTCCGGCAATGGAAGACTGGAGATCAAGAACTGTTCTTGTGAGTCGGAGAACCTTCTCTTCAAGCACCTGGATTTTCTGTTCCTGAAGTTCCTGTGGCCCCTGTTTGGGATCTACCGTTTGGCTTGGTTCCGCTGCACGAGTTGGTGACAAAGTCTTCTTGGGCTCTGAGACTTGGCTTGGTTCATTATCTGTTACAAAGGAAGAGTCGGATATGACTTAACACGTTCTACCATTTCCCATTTTCTGCAAAGCCAATAAACAGGGTACTTGAGGAATACACTTAAGCCTTCACTTATAGATCCCCTCTAACCACAGGCAATCGTGGTAGAGCGAAAAAAGACAGTGGGCTTTGAGTCAAAGAGACCTCCCCTTGCAGCCTGGCTCTGCTGTTTACTGTCTGCCCTTGAGCAAGTTAATTAACTTCTGTGAACTATAATCCCCTCATCTCTGAAGCAGAGGTACTATCTTCCCTCCTAGGGTTGTTAAGAGAATATGTACATGGCACATAATAGACGGTCAGTGGTTTCTTTCACCCTAAAGGGAAATATTCTTAATCTACTCTGTCATATGGACACATTGTTCCCACATTAGTGAGCAGTAGCTACACCCCAATGATTGGCTCTGTTCTATAAAACCACAAGAAGCCACTTTAGCAAGATCCACCCATTAGCTGTTGGGTGGTATGATATCATACAAGCAGTAAGTTATCCCCCAAGCAACTCCTAAATGTTCTTTTACTTTTATTAGCATCGCTAGGCTAAAGGAGTCTCATAGACATTGCTTACCACCATTATGCAGTTCCGGAAACTAAAAGCAAAAGAGAAATACAGCAGTGGGATTCTGTTGGCATCTCCTAACAATAAAGCCACACGGTCATATAGACTAAGATTCACTAAATCAAAGAATATAAACATTGAATTTTTGATAATCTGAGAAATATACCTCCAAGGAAATAGTCCAAAAGAAAGAAAAAAGTTATAAAGATGATTGTGATGAGTCATAAAAATGAAAATAAAGTGACAGATAGATTGTTTGAACTCGACAAAAAGAAAATTACTGAAACCTGAGGCAATAGGAGATTAGAAGCAAACCATGGCCCTGAACACACAGTAGGATACAAGGAATACTAGAAAGAGCTAACAGGGGCACCTGGGTGGCTCAGTCAGTTAAACCTCTGACTCTTGATTTCAGCCCAGGTCATGATCTCAGGGTCCTGGGATCGAGACCCACGTTGGGCTCCCTGCTCCGTGAAGAGTCTGCTTATCTCCCTCTCCCTCTGCCCCTCCCACTGCTCTCTCTCTCTCTCTGAAATGAATAAGTCTTAAAAAAAAAAAAAAAAAAGAGGGGCTAACATTGACAAGCCTACACAGATGATATGGAGACTATCTTGACAGGTGGAAAAAGTCAAACACAATATAGATGACAATGAAGTAAAATGCATTAAGGTACACTGAACAAACACTAGAAGTAAATGTAGAACGTTGCAGATATTTGAGTTTACTGTTGTTTTTTCCTCCCCTAAACTTTTGTACACAATCATAACCACAGCTATTATTCATTAAAATCAACTTAGTGGTAAAACCAAGACTGGAATTCAGATGGCCAAACTCCCAAGCAGAGAACTATAAAGAATACTTTATTTTCCACACTGAAAAATTTGTTCTACCTCAAGCCACTAGGAGAAAAAAACAAATTGTTCAATCACATACAGACGATATGCCATTCTGAGCAAAGGAAATAAGAGGAAAGGGCAGGAGACTGGGGGAAAATCAGAATGTAAGGAAATGCTTCTTTTCCATACTCCTGGTGACTATGGAAACTGCTACAACTTTTTGGAAGGATAATTTGGCAATATGTATCAAAATCTCAGAATCCCTTTGCCCCTGAAATTACACTTCTAGAAGCTTATTCTAGTAAATAATCAAGGATGAATCTAAAATATTAAGAGGAAAAAATGTTTATTCAAATAGTATCTATAATACTGAAAAACTGCAAACGACCTAAGTGACCAATAGTAGGGGATTGTGTTCAAATAATCACACTCTCAAAAGCCATTAAATGATATTGTAAATTATTTAATGAGCGGTTGTTCATTATAGATTAAGTTAAAAAATAAGTTCTAAAAATAGCATGTCCTTGGGGCACCTGGGTAGCTCAGTCGGTTAAGCTTCTGACTTCCGCTCAGGTCACTATCTCAGGGTCCTGGGAAAGAGCCCCATGAACCCCACGTCAGGCTCTGTGCTAAGCGGGGAGTCTGCTTCTCCCTCTCCCCCTCTCCCCCTCCCTCTGCTTCTGCTCACTCTCGAGTGTGCACACGCACTCTCTCTAATAAATAAAATCTTTAAAAAAATAGTGTGTTCTTTATAATGACAGTGGATTAAGGATAAGCATTTCCTTTTCGTTCCCTTTTGAAATCCCACTAAAACGACAAAACAAAACAAAAAACAGAACAACCATGTCACATATAAAAACTTAGGAATCAGAATGGTTTTGTTCATTTTAACAGCTGTATTGAAAGCTAGAAGAAAACTGAGTGATGCTTTCAAAATTCTGAAGGGAAATTATTTCACAACTAGAATTCTAAAGATAGAATTAAAATATTTTCAGACTATAAAATAATAGAAAGTGTACCTCCCATACAATCTTCTCATAAAACTACTGGAGGATGTGCTTTACCAAAACAAGGGAGTAAGTTGAGAACAAGCAGGGAGTACAGGAAAGAGGGGATCAATGGGAGAGAGACAAGTTAAGATCACAGGCTGGCAGCAGTGAACAAGGAAAAGAGGCTGACCAGGTGGGGCAGGTAAGAAAGCTCTAGGAGGATGCTTCAGGAAGATGACACTGATGTGTCTGAACATAATGAAATGACATCTAGATAATCCCCCAGAGGAGAGTTTGGGTTGAAATAAGGACAAAGACATAAAAAACAAAACAAAGGAAAATATAAGACAAATACAAACTCTAAAGAAACCATAAAGCTGTATAGGAAAGGCAACAGATGCATAGTATACTACATGGCTCAGCTGTAAACATTATCTATACAGTTACTACAATGTAAACAATATGTATTAAATAAATTAAAAACCTGGTATAAACTGTACAGAAAGGATGAGGGTATGGGAGCCATGTGCTGGAAAGCAGATGAAAAGGAGTCAAACCCTCACCTTCCATAATGAGAGGTCAATAGATATGGAGGTGAGTTCCAACAGACAATCTAAACAGTTTAAAGGAATTACCTCCAAGAAGGGAAAGTGGGGGAGAAGGAGGGTCACTGTTCTCTTAATAGTCCTTTTAAGCTATTCGACTCAGTAAACTACATACAGGCTTAAGCTTTTATAAAATAAAAATGAAACAAAAGTAAACTATTATGACCCAACAGACCCCTTTGTGTGTCCCCATCATATTATCTATGATGACTTATTGTAATTACTTGTCTGATGTTTGCCTTCTCTGAGTTCAGGGACTGTCTGCCTTGTTTTTCACTTTTCCCAAGTATCTAGTATAGAGCCTGCCAGATATAGAAGCTCAATAAATATTTGTGGGATGAATAAATGAATTTTTCTTTAACAAAATGTATGTGCAGACATAGGAAAGAGAGTAATGTGTGATAACAAAATGTCAGCAGTAGTTATCATATGGCGGTGAGATTATGTGTAACTAAGTATTTTCCTACAGCTTTATAAACACTCTTTAATTGATATGCATTACTTTTTTCATAAAAATTATTTTAAAATTTTACAGACAATATTGGGAAACACTACAAGTTTCAAAATTGACAATACTTCATGGGAAAATACAATCATTTAAAGACAACCATCAAATTCATGAGAAAACCTAGGTTACATTTATTCTCACTCAACCTAAAAAAGAGGAAAGATAAAAGGACAATTTTTATCCATAAAAGTCAGTCACTTAATGTTAAACTTAAAAGCAAAGGTGAAAATTATCACTGCTTTCTGAGTTATTCACTGAATTTGTGCTACTTCAAAAAAATTTAGAAACAAATTTAAGAACAACTTCACTGGATGCCTCTCTGTCTTAGCTTTGCAAATATCTCACCCCAAACAGAATGACAATGATTCTAATTTACCTATTTAAAAAAAAAAAAAAACAATTTAGTTCCTTCAAATTCAGATTTATGGGAGCTTGTAGATGAAAAGCAAGAACAAACAAAGCATCACTACATCTGAATCTCTTTTCAAATGTTCTGCACACTACACCAGTCTGAAACCATCCCCTACACTGATTGCTAAGTCCTTGGCTTTCACAAGTTGGCCCTAACAAAGCAATTCACTTGCAAAAGAAAAAATCTGTACTCTAATTGCTGCTGCTTTTGCAAATAACTTTGCATGCCACATGTGTCTACTGCAGGCAGATATGTGTGTTACTTGAACCTTGGAGAGATCGCCATTGAAAATCATAAATCCTACTGTCTGCAGGAGCACTGGGAAGATCAGAGGTGGTCACCCACAGCAAAGTACAAAGAAGTTACCTGTGGCTTTCTTCATGCTATTTCGAGGCCGGGCGGGCGTGGGGCGGGGAGTCTTCACAGGGTCCCTGGGACCTTCCTGGCAGTCTCCCCCTCTAAAGCCAGGGCAGCACCTCCATTCCAACTGTGTCACTGTCTTGTACTTGGTGACATATCTGGGTCTGAAGTTCACACGATACCTGCCAAAGAAAAGCGTGGCATCTCTCTTTACTGGCTGCAGTCGCCAGAGCCCCTGGCCCTCCCTGACTTGGACCCGAATGAACAGGATACAAGCCCCTGTCTGCTTTCTCCAAGCTGACCCAGAGGGGACCACTGGTCTCTTCAGTCCAGCCCTGACCCCCTGGGGTTCAGCCAAAATCAGACTGGCCTCCTTCCATCTCTTAGACCCACCCGCACCCAGCTCCCTTCCCACTGACGGTCGTGAGATCAAACCCCCTGTTGGGCTCCACGCTGGGCATGGAGCCTGCTTAAGATTCTCTCCCTCTTCCTCTGCCCCTCCCTGTCCTCTCTCTAAAAAAAAAAAAAGTACATGTTCCCCCCATACATGCGCATATCACACTGAGACTCGTGATAAGCTATAAAGTCCCCCAGACCCAAGGCTGGGCCTGGAGCAGAGAGTGGCAATCCAGCAGCCCCCGGACACTCAGAGGGATGGATGCAGGAATCCAACACCCCCGGGTGCCCCTGCTCACAGCACAGAGGCAAGCTGCTCCTTAACTTATCCAAACTTCTACTTCCAGCTTGGAATCATGGCTCTCTAGAACATCTTCACTCTCTCTTCATTGTGAACACCAGCACTAGCAGCTGCCCTTCTCTTTGAGGGCCAATTTCCAGAAAGGAATCAGCTCTCTATCACTTCCCTAGCACTGCTGTGTGCTGCTCAGGGGAGAGTTGGGGGGCCCATGGGGCCTGGGGCTAGCCAGGTGACTCCATCTCAGGCACCCATCTTGTAGTGGGTGGAGTTCAAAGTCACATTCCTGAGAAAATTGCAAATTACTAAATGTAATGGGTTTTTGGCCCCTGAGGGTCAAAACCATGACCCCTAAAACCTCACGTATAAGGAATTCTCCCACCAACAGGACCCCAGGTGACCCTCTGGGCCCTGGGGACAGTACTGTCCCAAGCATTATTGTCCCAACACCTATCGCTGTCCCAGTTAAACTGACCCTTCTAGGGCAGTGGTTCGCAACACTGGCCAGGCATCAGAATCACCAGCAACCGTAAAGAACTGCCAACCCAATGCCCCTGTCTCACTCTCAGAGGTTCTGATTTAATTGGTCTGCGGTGGGACCTGGATGCACAGATTTTGAGAAGCTCCAGAGAGATTTTTTTCAAGGAAAACAGAAGAGAAAGCCCAATGAATGAAACAGAAAAGAAGGGTGGGGCAAGACCTCCCTTCTAGGCTCTTAGTTCCCTGGTATTGCCACCACACCCCCCATTAAGGCCCAACTATTTAGTTTCCCCTTTTCACAAATGGGAAAACAGAGGCTCACTCAGGTCAAGTGACCTGTCCAAGTTCCAATGGTCAGGAAGGGCCAGGGCTGGGATTTAAACCCAAATGTTCTCTCCTGCACCCCAGACGGCCCTCCCAGCACACAGAAGCAGTGACTCCAGAGATTGCCTTAAATTTGAAGCAACCGCACCCACCCAGAGATGTTCCACAAGCCCTACAAGTTTGGGTCAGCGGGTAGCTGCCATCCCCATTCAGCAAACACTTGTCCGAGCATCTGACCCGGGCCAGGTGCACACCAGCCCCCAGACCCCGAGCACCCCACCTACCAAAAGAATTCCCTGTGTGGTCCTAGAAGCGATAAAAAAGAAAGAAAGAAAGAAAATTCCACTTCATTGTTTTGCATGCTCAAGTATAGCATAATGCTGCAAAAATGTGTAATCTCAGAAAACCTTGGTTCCTCTGAGCATTTAAGACTGAATGTGAAAATGTGTTTGCACTTGGGTGTTGTACGTGAGCCAGCAGATGACAGCCCATAGCAAACCCTTCTGGATGTTGGCTGAGTGGGACCAGGAGAGCAAAACCTGAGGCTGCGAGTCCGACTCCCTCCCCACCCGGAGGCCCTGGCTCCAACTGCTGAGCCGAGTGTAAGAAAGTGCTCGCTCTTTCAACACACTCATTATTTTCTTTAAAGGCAGTTAGCAGTTTGGAGCCAGCTCATAACTTAGGAAAGTTCCCTGGAGTTCCTGTCTTCCTCTCCAGCCCCACGCACATCCCCCACCTCCACCCTCCACCCTAATCGGCTGGCTGTAGGCTTTTCGGCTGGCGGCGCCGAGTTCAGGTGGACAGCATTTCTGACAGAATGGTGAGTCCAGCATGTGGAAGAGGCCTCCCTGGCTAGTGGTGACAGCTGGAAGCCATCAGGCGGCCACCTCCAGCCGTGGGAAAGCTCACATTCCGGCTGCTCCGTGCACCAGGACAGGGGTCCCAGAGGCGACTACAGGTCCTCAGGCCTCAATGGCGGGGCGGGGCGGGGGGAGAGGTAGGGTTGTGCATGCGGCCCCCCAGCTTTCCCGGGATTTTCCCTGCAGAAATGGGGCTCCCGCCTCCACGAGAGCCAACCAAGAGGTTTTCCAGAGGATGGGAGGAACACAGCAGGATTCCCAGGCCCTCCTTCCAACCCTCGGTGCTCTGCAGGACAATATCCTGGCCAGGGAGCTTTAAAAAAAAAAATGCCCAGGTCTTTATGCTCAAAATTCTAATTTAGCTGGCCTGGGGCCAGGGATGCCCAGGCATCTGTACCTTTCAAAAACTCCCCCAGTAATTGTCAAGTGCGGCCAGAGTTGAGACGTGCCGCCCAAAACTCAGGGCAACCTATCAGCCTTCCTTCCTCATAGGAGCCGGGAGCCTCTGAGGCAACCAAGGGCTAGACAGCCAGGCAGGGGGAGTGAACTGACCCAAAGCAGCCCAAGTGTTACCCTAAGAACCCTTGGGTTGTAAGCGCACAGGAGGTGCCCCATGGACACTTACTGAATCAGCTAACTGCACCAAGCTGGGGGTGGCCAAGCAGAAGGACCAACAGCCCAAGGGACAGAGTCAAGGCGGTGCTGGGCTGGAGCTGGAAGGCTGACTCAGGCTGCAGCCTTGGCTTCCATCCCAGTCTTGGGTAGAGACTGTAACAGAATCCTGTCCCTCAAGGGAGCCCCGTCCACAGCTGCCTCGGGCACTCCCGGGGGTCCCTGGGGGCTGCAGCGGCACGCCGCCCCACCGCCCCAGCCCACCCCAACCTCTGCCAGGGCCCTTCGTCCCGTCCTCTCAACTCTCCTCCCCTTCCTCGCCCTCTGAAACCCCTTTGGGGTGGGGGGTGGTGAAACAAGGGTTCACCATCTTTATGAGTTCAACCACCATGCAAGACATCAGGTCAACCCAGAAGGTTCTACTGAGAAGGAAGGTGGCAAGGAGGACTAGAAAAGTTGAATCAGAGTTCAGGGACCATAGGACTTGAAATGTCACTATTAAAACAAAATGTGACAAAATGACTGCCTCCATCTGACATCACCCCCTTCCCCCACAGAAAGACTCCTTCCCACCGACAGGAGGTGAGGCTTCTTTCATGACATGCCTCTATTCACACTTGTTCAGTGTCCTCATTTTTAAACACAGCGTCTGTCCTAGTGCAGGTGCTCAACAAAAATGAACGTCAGTCAATAACTGATTAATCAAACAGTAATTTAATGATACTAAGTCTACTTTTGATGAGGTTTGGGGGAATCCAATGTCCATATTAAAAGCCCCAAGTGCTCCTCAGTTCTAACCCCAGCAGATGTGAATTCCAGAGCCTCCCTAGAACCAAATCAAGCTCCAGAGTCCTCGGGTCACCAGAAGGTGACCTCGAGTTGCGTTGTCCAAGAAGATAGCCATTAATCAGGTGGGGCTTTTTAAATCTAAACTAATTACAAGTAAACAAAATTGAACATTCAGTTCCTCAGTCACCCTGGCCACGTTTCAGGAGCCACCTGCAGATTAGTGTGAGCATGTCTGTCATCACAGGTGTCTCCTGGACAGGGACTCACGAGGCTGGCGTGGGAGGAGCAACTGACACACCTCTGTTCATCTCCTCATTCCTACCCCACCCCCGCCTGTCTTCTTTCTCCTCCCACATCCCTCCCACGTTGCCAGTAGAAGGCTTTTCAGAAATAACCACACATCACTGGCCGAGGATCATTTCTACAAGGTAAGGACCTACAAGGTAAGGATCATTTCCCTGAATTTTGTGTTCACCTGTAACTTCTTTTTTAAATACATGCCACTTCTTTTTTGAATATATGCCACTAAAAGTGCACAAATCTAAACCCCTGTGCCCCCGCTGGGACAACTGCTTGACCAGGATTTCTCCCAAAAAGAGACATTCTAGTAAATTCCTCTCTTTCTCCAAGCATTGGCTTGTCCCCCAAACCCCAGAACTAACTCTTCTTGCTTCATTCTTGTGTGTGGTCCCATACGTATCCACCGGAATTGACTGTTAGGATGGAGAAGGAAGCCAGAAAGAAGAGGTGCCTCCCTCTCTCTGGTAGGAAGCGCCCTGGGCCTGAAGAAATAACCACCGATCTGGGACAACACCAGCACGTGCATACAAGCAAGAAGGCATTTCAGCGGGCGTCAGGACACACATCCAGGCAGATGCAGTTGGCCCACGTTCAGGAAATACTCCGAGTTTTCCACCTCCAGGCACGGAATTCACTTTTTGTTTTTCACTGCGGTAAATATGTATAACATATGTGTGGAATACACATAACATCAGACAAACAAGTGGGACTCCATCAAACCGAAAAGCTTCTGCACAGCACAGTTTCATCAATACAATGAAAGGATGAAATCACAACCGGTCCAGGGCAGACTCCTAGAGCAAAATCGGGAGGGGGACGGATGGAAAATGGGTCCAGGGGCAAGCAGAGAATGGCCAGTGCATGCTGCTGGAGAGAGAGAGAAGGAAAATCACACTCTCTTAGAAGCAAAGGGAAAGAAGTATTCCCAGTGCTACGGAGACGGTCGAGGAACAGAAGCACTGAGAGACACTGTTTTTGAGACAAGGAGATGCTCAGTGACCTGAGCCAGTGCTGCTCAGATCAACAGAGACAGAGGACACTGGGTCGGAATAAAGAGTGAAATAAGCAAGAGGAGGTACAGGGCAGCCCCCAAAACTCCCATCAAGTTTGCTTGTGATGGGAA